TCTGCATCTGCTGCATTAAAAAAAAACATGGAAGCTCAAGTTTCTACAAAAAAAAGAAAACAAAAAGAGAAAGAGAATAGCTCTCAGGCCAAGAAAGTGGCAGTGAGTGAGGAGGGGGAGAAAGAGGAGGGGGAGAGAGAGGAGGAAATGGTGGTGGAGGAAGAGGAGGTGAAGGAGGCAGAGGAGGAGGAAAGTGAGGAAGATTTGATGGAGGATGAAGAAGATGAGGATGAAGAGGACTGTGCTGAGGCCAGCCAGCCTCTCACCGACTCACAATTGGAAAGTCCATTTTTTAAAGTGGAGCAAATTAAAGAATTTCTTAGAAAAACTAAAAACAAGAGACGAGTAAAAATAGAAGAGTTTTTTGCAGACAAGAGCTTGTTTGTGCAGTCTGTTAAAGCTCAGATGCATCTCTTCACTGAAAGGGAATGTTTTCGTTTGAAGGTCCTGAAAATGAAGATACAGAAAGAGATTTTAAATGAAGAGGAAAATAACATGTACGGCACTTAGTATGCTGGGTTTTACGTACGTGTTGTTTTTAAGCGGTGTGTCTCTCCTCACATCCTTTTTAATGAGTGATTTTAAAGTCTGCACTTTAAATGTCAATGGAGCTAGGGATGTGGGGAAGAGGGCTTGTGTTTATGAGCTTTTAAAAATAAAAAAGGTCAATGTAGCAATGCTACAAGAAACGCACAGCGACACTTTAAACGGGACAGACTGGAGGAGGGAGTGGGATGGGGAGGTGGTTTTAAGTGGTCTTAGCAGCACCAGTGCAGGAGTGGCAGTCCTGTTTGCTAAAGATTTTATCCCCAAGTCCCACACAGTGGAGGAAAGAATAAAGGGCAGACTGTTGGTGGTGAGAGCTAACTTTGAGCTTTTTAATCTGGTTTTTATCAATGTATACGCTCCTAATTCAGGTCCTGCCAGAGTTCAGTTTTTAAACGAGCTCAGCGCTGTTTTAAGTGAGTGTGAACCAGAAGAGTTTTATTTTTAGGGGGAGATTTTAACTGCACACAGAACGACGAGTTAGATAGGAACCATAGGGAACCTCATGCTGCATCCAAAAGAGCCATGACATAGTTAATAGCAACACATAGCCTATCAGACATATGGAGAGAGCATCACACACATCACAGACAGTACACATGGGTCCACTCTAGGGAGAACCTTTTATCAATGGCTAGGCTAGACAGGTTTTACTGTTTTAAGCACCATTTGAATGTTTTTAAAAGTGTGCTATATTGCCTGTTGGTTTCTCTGACCACTCCCTTGTATTGTGTGATGTTTTTATTGCCAACATAAAAAGCAAATCTGCGTATTGGCATTTTAACACTGCTCTGCTTTTAGATACACATTTTAGAGAGGTTTTTATTTATTTTTTGGAAAGGTTTTAGAGAAAGGAAGGGGGATTTTAACTCATTGAAGCAGTGGTGGGATTGTGGGAAAGCCAACATCAAGCAGCTTTGTCTTCAGTACACTCTCAATGTTTCTCGTGACATCACCAAGTCTATGAGAGATCTGGAGATGGAAATAGTGGAACTGCAGAGCTATGCAGAGTCCACAGGAAATCCAGGTTGTATTGAAGACCTAAAATCTAAAAAAGCCATTTTGGCAGATCTGCTGGGTTCCAGAGCACAGGGGGCGCTGGTCCGGTCCCGATTCCAGAGCGCTTCCCTGATGGATTCACCAACAAAATACTTCTTCAGTCTGGAGAAGAAGAACGGGCAGGGCAGGCTGATCCACGCTCTGAAGTCAGCAGGAGGACAGCAGCTGACAGGAAACAGCCAGATCCGGCAGAGAGCGGTGGACTTTTACTGCGACCTCTTCACCAGTCAGTACACCGAAGATGAGGGAGGTTTTAATCTGTTCTGCAGGGGCCTACCAACAGTCTCTGAAGAGACGAAAAAAGAGCTGGACGGGCCCCTGACTGAGGAGGAACTGTGTGCAGCACTCAAGAGCATGCAGGGGGGGAAGGCCCCTGGAATAGATGGCCTCCCCCCAGAGTTTTACAAGACATTTTGGGACTTTTTAAAGAGGATCTAATGGACCTTTTTAATGAAAGTTTTAATGACTCTTTACTCCCTCTGAGCTGCAGAAGAGCTGTTTTAACCCTCCTTCCGAAAAAAGGTGACCTACAAGAAATAAAGAACTGGAGGCCCATCTCTCTGCTGTGCACCGACTACAAGCTGCTGTCCAGGGCCCTGTCCTCCAGGCTGAGGAAGGTGATGGACCAGGTGGTAGACCGGACCCAGACCTACTGTGTGCCCGGCAGGTCAATTGTTGACAATGTGTCACTAATTCGAGATATTTTGGAAGTCTCTGGTTCATTGGGTTTCGACACTGGTCTGGTTTCATTGGACCAGGAAAAGGCTTTCGACCGGGTTGAGCACCGTTACCTGTGGAAGGTGTTGGAGAGGTTCGGCCTCAGCCCGGGCTTCATCGCCATGATAAAGGTGATGTATGTGAACATTGAGAGTGTGCTTAAGATAAATGGCGGTCTGTCTAGACCTTTTAATGTGACCAGGGGCATAAGACAAGGCTGCTCGATGTCAGGTATGTTGTACACACTAGCAATAGAGCCCATGCTACACAATATCCGCTCTTTTAATGAGGGCCTGTTTTTATCTGGTTTTGATACACGTTTTATTTTATCGGCCTATGCAGACGACATCATTGTTTTTATAAAAAATCAACAGGATGTTTTAAAGCTAGGGCAGGTAGTGGATACTTTTCAAAAGCTCTCCTCTGCAAAGGTCAACTGGGCCAAAAGTGAGGCCCTTGCAGTGGGGGAGTGGACTGGTGGCCTCCCTCAACTCCCAGGTGGGTTGACTTGGAAGAGGGGTGGCATCAAGTATTTGGGGGTCCATCTTGGAGATGAGGGCACACTGGGGAAAAACTGGGAAGGAGTTCTAGAAAAGGTGGAGGGGAAACTAAACAAGTGGCGTTGGTTACTTCCCCACATGTCCTACAGAGGCAGGGTGCTGGTCATCAACAACCTGATAGCATCCAGCCTCTGGCATAAGCTCAAGTGTGTGGAACCCCCTGCTGGTCTTTTAAAGAAGTTGCAAATTATTATTTTAAATTTCTTTTGGGATAAGTTGCACTGGGTTCCTCAATGCACGCTGTACCTACCAAAGGAAGAGGGGGGGCAAGGGTTGGTGCACCTAGAGAGTCGAGCAGCTGCTTTTAAACTACAGTTTTTACAAAGATACCTGACAGGAAACGATGATGTCGTCTGGAGGCCGGTAGCCAGCACCATTTTAAGGGGGGTAGCAGGCCTGGGTTTTGGATGCGTCATTGTTTTTAACAAACTGTGATTTTACTCGTGTGTGTGTTTTGCCTCCGTTTTACAAAGGACTTTTTAAAGTATGGACACTTTTTAAATGGGCCAGAGTGGGTCCCGCAGCATCTCTGTTCTGGCTCCTGGAAGAGCCTCTGGTGTGGGGGGGCCCGGCTGGACGTCCAGGACAGCAGCAGACCTGCACTTACTGAGAGACTTCGGTCCGTTGGGGTCGTGAAGCTGAGGAACATCGTGGATGCTGCAGGTCCTGGACTCCACAACACCGAGGCCGTGGCCTCTCTGCTCGGCCTGAAGTCGGCCCGCCACACCAGAACCATCCTGAACGAGTGGACTAAAAGGCTAACTGACGATGAGATGGAGATGCTGCGGGAGTATTCTAACAGGAAGGAAACCCCTGACGAAGGGGACCCTTTTCCAGACATTGGGATTTTAGCAGACCAGGATGGACTAGAACCCAGAACTCATTCAGACATTCACATGCAGAATGGAAAAGGTTTTTATAGACTCTGCACTCTGGCCCTGAACAAACAGAAACTAAGTGAGAGGAGAGACACGGTGTGGAAACAGAGGCTTAACGTCCCGGGGGGCTGTGAACCTATATGGAGGCTCTTCTACAAACCTCCACTGAACAAGCGGTCAGGAGACCTGCAGTGGAGGATCCTCCACGGGGCCCTGGGCGTTAACGCCTTTGTGTCGAAAATAAACCCCACCGTGTCCTCCGAGTGTCCGTTCTGCACCGACAGAGGACGATCACTCACTGCTACCTGGACTCTGTCACAGACTGAAGCCTCTTTTTAATGTTTTAAAAACTGTGTTTTTAGACTGTGGGAGGTTTTTACAGAGAGACTGCTTTTATTTTTTGGTTGCTGGCTACAAGAAACAGAATGCAGGGAAGTGGGGAAACTGTTTGAATTTTATTGTGGGGCAGGCAAAAATATCAATTTACAAAAGCAGGAAGAACAAAGTGAAACAGTACAGCAGGTCAGCAACTAACTAACATGTTTTTATCTTTGGTAAAGGCACGAGTGAGAGTAGATTTTAGATTTCACTGTCTGATGAAAAGTATGGAAGAGTTTTTAAACCGTGGTGTGTTTCACTACAGCTGTGTGCTCGGTGGTGGGGGAGGAGCTTGGCTTTTTAACTCTGTTTTTGTGTGAGGAAAAAAGGGGAATTCTTCTCTCAATGTATATAAGAAAATAGTTTTTAATTGTTTGGTGAAAATATAAATAAAAGTGTTTTTTAAAAAAAAACAGCGCAGAGCGAGAGGGGCAGAGGAGAAGAGCGCACTTAGAGAGCATCAGAGAGACGAGAGAGCGAGCGAGAGCGGAGAGAGAGAGACGAGAGAGGCAGAGAGGAGAGCAGGAGAGAGGAGGAGAGAGAGAGAGAGAGAGAGAGCGCGAGAGAGAGGAGAGAGCCGAGCGAGAGAGAGATCGCGAGAGAGAGGGGAGTAAGAGAGAGAAGAGAAGAGAGCGAGCAGGAGAGAGAGAGAGAGGCGAGAGACGGAAGAGGAGAGGAGAGGAGCGAGGAGAGATCGAGAGAGAGGAATAGAGCTAGAGAGATATATATCGACGAGAGCCGCTCTCTCTCTATCTCTTCTCTCTCTATATCTACTCTCCTTCTCTTTCTCTTCTCTCTCTCTCTCTCTCTCTCTCTCTCTCTCTCTCTCTCTCTCTCTCTCTGAGAGATGTACATTACTCACGTAGAGAGAGGTAGAGCACGGTGTGTTTGTCGCTCCTGTTGTTCTGAGAGTTGTCAACGTAGATGTGTGTGTAGTTGTGATGATTAAAGAGAATCGGACCGGAGTTATCGACGGGCCGAACCCAGTCCTCCATCTCCGAGTTCTCCTTGATCTTGTTCAGGACGTCCATGGGAATCGTTGTGCTGTCCGGGACACACTGAAGGGGAAATATGATGTCATGGCACATGTTTAATGACGGTCCACCTACTGTTGGTATGCTTCGCTGCACGGTAGCTTTCTGATGCAAAATGTGGCCGTTTTTTTTAAGTAAAGTAGGATTTAGTTTCTAGATTTCAGACAGAAGAAGACAAAAGCTGGCTCTTCAATTTTAGTGATAAGCTAGCAGCTATAATGATACCGGGAACTATTTCTTAAAGTTATTATTTCAGTTGTTGTTGACACATACCTCTCTGGACCTGCCGGGTTGGGGGACTTTGCCTTTAAATGTGGACGTTGTGAAGATGCGTTCAATGTCTTTTATGGTGTAGACACACACGGCACTCATCCCCCTGCAGACACACACACACACTCATCAGCTGATACACACACACACACACACACACACATCTGCAGCAACAGGGAACTGTGGGAGGTCAGTTAAAAGTTGTGAGACAGCTGAGCATACATTACTTTTTTTTTAAAGTAATATGTAATATGTAATATATTACTTTTTTTTTAGTAACGACCCCATCTCTGGTAACAGTACGTTCATCACGGTCTCCTGTAATGTCGGCGTATCCACTTAAGCATGAGAAGCTGAAGACTACAACTCCCATAATGCCACGCTGTTTCACCACTGCACAACACTAGTTTTTATTATGGTTTTAGAATATAACAGGTTGTGTGTTTAATGTAGTAATGATGCGCTGCCATGGAGCCTTAATAAAGAACAGAAACCAAGATTAGGAAAAAGGAACTAACCAAGAAACTCTTTTGTGCATACAGATGGAGCATCTTATTTCAGACTCCAGCATACAGCTTCCTGCCTACTACCAGCCAGTTACCTGCCTAAGACCTGCCAAAGACCAGTATCTGGGAATGTTAAGCCCTCCCACTATTTTCCAAGAGGGCGTTGCCAGATTTTCAATTTCAGGATTTAACCAGGAGATGGCGCTATATATTAAATAACTATGGCCAAACTAAGACTTAGTTTTTCACAAGAGAAAATGCAGATATTATATAAAAAACTAAAGTTAAAATCTTGTTTTTAATGCCCCAAGAGCAATAAAAACACTTGTTAAAAAAATCCTGAGTGAGGCTTTCATAAATTGCATTTAGCTGACGCTTTTATCCAAAGCGACTTACTATTTAATAAATGATAAATGATTATTCATAACAAATATGAGTGATGTGTGATTATTATTCATGCTATATACTGATATAGGGCTAAGTAAGCAATCAATCCTGCAAATGAACCCTTAGTTGTTCAATATATTTATTCAGACAATGTGAGTAGAAATACAGAAATTCTGCTCCCACCTTAGGCCAACGTTGCAATATTACAACATTTCCCTAAAAACTTACCAAAACGTAATTTTGGATTGTATGTCAGGAAAAAGATTATAACTTTCCAAAGGGGCGTTCGTTTAGCATGACACACTTGAAATAACTAAAGGATAAGTTAAACAAGAAAGTAGAAAGAAAGTGAGGTCATAGAAAAGTGAGCAATGATTGAGAGTCAGAGCTAAACATTTCAGATGTGTGTTTCTCACACCTTTGCCTTTGTTATTCATGTTTTATTATCTTTGCTTTTATATGAGTGTTTTTAAATGCCATTTTATAATATGTTTCTTAATGTCTTTCATTTTTGTAAAGCACTTTGAATTGCCTTGTGTTGAAAGGTGCTGTATAAATAAACTTGCCTTATCCCTCACTTGAATGCATGATAACGGGTTCCTACCATTCATTTCTGAAGAGTGCATAGACTCTGGTGTCCTCCCACTGCTCTTTCTCCACAGTAGCTACATCCACCAGCTCAGAGAAATGTCTTCGGCTCTCAGGCTCTCCGCAGAACAGCCGAGCGTTCATCTGGGACGTCCAGCTGAACTGCAGCAAGTTCTTCGGACCGCCACGATCTCCCTGGAAGAAAATGCATTGATTACTCGATCAAAATTCACATGCAATGAGTCATTTGGAGCATATATAATGAATTAGGGCTGCACGATATATCGTGTCGTGGCAATAATCACGATATTCACATCGCAGGAGGTTTTTTTTTTTTACGACGTGCGATATTAAGTAGGCAAATTAACTCAAACACGTGATGTTACAATTATTTTGCTGCTTGCTACAAAAGGAAAACTCGCGCAGCTCTCATGTCAGAGGCACTTGAGTGAGTGACATGCAGGCTCTGTCAGCAAACCACCAATCACAACCAAATCTCCAAAGCAAACGGACCCGGTGATTAAAGGTAAAAACACTGAATAAAGTAATTTCATAACTTAAGCTCCAGACGTCCGTGACTGAAATCCTTCATCCGGTTAAATATAGTTAGAAAAATACCAATTGTATAGCATTAGAGTTCAAGAAAAGATGGTTTGCGGACAAAAAAAACGGTCTTTTCTTCAATTCCTGTATTTTTTCATATCGCAGGGGAAGAAAATATCGCAATGTCAGTTTTTTCCAATATCGTGCAGCCCTATAATGAATATAATAATAATAATAATAATACACTTTATTTGTATAGCACCTTTCATGCACAAAGCAAAGTGCCTTACAGAACAAGAGGAAAACATAACAACAATATTAAAATATAGTTTGACTGGGAAAAAAGATCTCAACAGGTTATTTCCAGCGGGCAGAAGTAACAAAAATGTCCTCTGACTGACCATTTATTGCAATTCTAGCGTACTGTATTTAGGAGACAATACTTCCCCGAATTCAGTTTTTACAGGACATTTTTAAACATGACACAGTAAGAGAGAGGATATATTTTGAGGTATCTAAACTGCAAGTAGTTTCACAGGAAATTAGGACTTTACAAGTTCAATCAACATCCTCTTCACGACCACTGATCTCAACACTCTCTATGGCTTCAATTTCAACCCAAGCTATTTTGTGCACATACCTGCTTCTAAAAGAGTGTTTCTATTCTTGAAATCTAGCTTCAAACATTACAAATTAAATATGCAATCCTTATTATTTAGTCCTGCCGGTCTTACCATGCACACTCGGGTCACAAAGGGGATCCACATGTCACTGTACAGGCCTGGATCTTTGTTTTTCTCCTTATAGAAGCCGAACACTTTGCCCTGAAGGGGGTCGTCTCTCCGTCTGCTGGGCACCAAACCCACAAAGTGCTGCTCTGAAGACGCAAAGTCAATATGAGTCTCTATAATCTGGGTTAACATCATTTAATGAACCCAACATCTCCAAGCATCTACCTCTATCGTGCATCGTGGGTCCAACTCTGTACCTCTCTAACCTGTGGATGCCAACATCTCCTTTAGATCCAGAGTATGTGACGTAGAGGTTACTCTCTGCTGATTCTGCAAACACACAAGAAGGATATCACAGCACCATCGAGGGGCTTTTGGTTTGCATCAGATGCCCTTTTTAAATGACATGCAGTCTCTCCTGTATGAAAAACTGCTTTCTGATAAGCAAGACTTGTTTAGAAGATTTAATAGGACTGTGAAGACAGAGGGAGTGTGGAGTGAATATTAAAAAGTACCATCGTGATGTTTGTTTTCCTTGTATCGTGTCCTAATATTTGTCCTCGTATCATATCGTATCGGTATCAGTGGTGAAATGAGTGTAGATAACATGGTGTCCGAGGAGTGGAGACCTTTTCATTGCACCCTCTCCAATAACAAATATTGGAGGATAGACAATGGGTGTGCAAAGGTCAAACTGTCATTGAACATATCTTAGTGTATACATTACACAGTGGGTGGAAGTGTTGCTCCACCACTTTGGTACAGACAGATATTTCTCAACAAATATTGCATTAAATGTTTCACGTTCACCGTTTTCCTCCAGTGCCAACATTGACTGTACATTCTGCTTTTTTGTACATTTGGATGCATTTTCTCGAGATTTGGTAAACATACTATCTGTCCTCTGACAAAAAGGGAGTGTAGAGTGAATATTAAAAAGGATAATCGTGATGTTATGTAAAGCTTGTTTTCCTTGTATCGTGTCTTAATATTTGTACTCGTATCATATCGCATCTTATATCTGTATCAGTGGTGAAAGAAGTATTAAGATATTTAAGCATTACTTAAAAGAAGCAATATCCCATGCTATATTTGAATAATATAGTGTAGGACCATACCTATATAAGGCATATTTATACTTTTTTTTCCTTCAAAATACCAAACAGATCATGCATTTTAGCCGTGCCTCATTTCACTCAATGTGCACTTTTTTAGCTCTGCAAGGGCAGATTCTGTGAGAACAGCACCATCTACTGGCCTGGCATATGTACTACAGCGTCTCCAGCGCTTTCGAACGGCAATGGCCGTGGCTGTCTCCTCCTGATTGGTGGAGTTGGCCCAATAGCCGTAGCGCCACCGTCCTGACGTCAGGACAGTGTTCAAATCTGGATCAGTTTTTATCAGATCCGTTGCAGCCCCTTTTTTAGAGATTTGGGTATGGAGGAAAATAGAGAGGGTTGTGTTTTCTGACACTTGGTGAGTTCCCTGGAACACCGGGGACACATATTCATGTATAAAAGACGTACACAAGTGCATTTTGCATGATAGGTCCCCTTTAACTAGAAGTACCAAATATGCATAAATAAACTAAATACCGTTTAGGAACTCAGAAAGCAGAGACACTTTGTGTACGGAAACTCACCCACGAGAGCGGCTGGTTCTCCTTCCTTTATGATGAAACCCTGTATACTATTTTTTATGTTCTGGATGTTTGCAGAGGACATGCACCTGGGTGGCTTCTGTGATAAATCCTACAGGAAAACAGACAGAAAACATTGTGCGAAACAGATGTTATTATTATTAGAGATTTAGTCTACCAAATTAACAAAAGCTGGTGCATCTCACAGGGAAATAAAAGCAGAAGTTAATTTACTTTTTCGTGAGACAAACACAGAAGAAGAAGTGACACATGAGAAGTGAAGCTCTCCCAGCGATGGCCGCCTGAAGCTTTTACACAATGCATGTTTATTGTATAATGTGCTTAACGACTGACTGTGTGACATATTAAATCAACCAGCTTTAGTGTATTGAATGAGATAAGTCACACTACAAAAATCTGTGTTATCAGGGAGTCAACAACATCAAATATTGAAATATCAAAAAACTTAAATACACTAAAAGTCTTGGGACTTCTTAAAGTTTAATCTGTAACTGTAATCTGAAATGTAATTATCTTATATTGTAATGTGTCTGTGTTCATTATATCTTACCTATTTTAAAGAGGACCTATTGTGCTGCTGGTCTTACCGCCTTATTCTAGTTTTACCAGGTTATGTGTGAAAGCTGCAAGATGCATATGTTCCTTAAAGAGGGCATATTATGTACATGTTCAGGTGTATATCAGTATGTAGTGTCTCTACTTTAAAGAGTCCTCTCCTGCTGATGTTCAGGTGTATATCAGTATGTAGTCTCTACTTTAAAGAGTCCTCTCCTGCTGATGTTCAGGTGTATATCAGTATGTAGTGTCTCTACTTTAAAGAGTCCTCTCCTGCTGATGTTCAGGTGTATATCAGTATGTAGTGTCTCTACTTTAAAGAGTCATCTCCTGCTGATGTTCAGGTGTATATCAGTATGTAGTGTCTCTACTTTAAAGAGTCCTCTCCTTCTGATGTTCAGGTGTATATCAGTATGTAGAGTCTCTACTTTAAAGAGTCCTCTCCTGCAGATGTCCAGGTATATATCAGTATGTAGTGTCTCTACTTTAAAGAGTCCTCTCCTGCTGATGTTCAGGTGTATATCAGTGTGTAGTGTCTCTACTTTAAAGAGTCCTCTCCTGCAGATGTCCAGGTATATATCAGTATGTAGAGTCTCTACTTTAAATAGTCCTCTCCTGCTGATGTTCAGGTGTATATCAGTATGTAGTGTCTCTACTTTAAAGAGTCCTCTCCTGCTGATGTTCAGGTGTATATCAGTATGTAGTGTCTCTACTTTAAAGAGTCCTCTCCTGCTGATGTCCAGGTGTATATCAGTATGTAGTGTCTCTACTTTAAAGAGTCCTCTCCTGATGATGTTCAGGTGTATATCAGTATGTAGTGTCTCTACTTTAAAGAGTCCTCTCCTGCTGATGTTCAGGTGTATATCAGTATGTAGTGTCTCTACTTTAAAGAGTCCTCTCCCACTTAGAGATGTCCCGCCCCTTAGCGTATCACGTACAATGTGATGGAGCGTGAGTGTTACATAGTGATGTCACTCCCGTCTCAGGACCATACTCTCTGCAGAACCTCACCATATCACAGCATGCCGTTCTCTCCTCATCGGTTCCACACAGGAACAACTTGTTAGCTTCCATCTTCTGGACAAGATAAATGTTAAAGCTGCAATCCTAAATGAAAAGAGTATTTGTGGTTTTACAATCCAATCCCCCCAACGTTTAACAGTCTGCTTTTTGCTTTCATTTTTTGTACCGCTTTCAGTGTCTGCTGAGGATCACTTTTGTTGCACTCTGTCCACGGTACATGTATTTCCACTGGAGTCTGGGAGGAGAAGAGAATGCATTGTGGCGTCAGTCATTTTTACACTTTTATGTCATTTATTGTATGATACTGTTTGTATAAATGTGTGTAACATGAAGGGGCTAAAGCTTACATTTCAACGTGTAGGTTGTATGTGGATAATGCATTAATGTGAGTGATATTTTAGTTGAAAATAGTGAATTATTGTACGCTTAAATGCTTTTAATTAGGACTCTTGGACTCTTGTGCATCCCTATAAACTCATGCCATGTGTTACTCGATTGCAGATATTTACTTAATGTCCTTAAAACAGTGTCAGAGATGTTACCTTGCGAGGGTTTTGGAAGTTGAATGATTTCAGGTGTTTCTGTTCAGCAGATATGACCGTGTTCGGCTCTTTTTCCAGAACAACCCCTGCAGGTGCATGGTGTCCGAGGAGAGGAAACCTCTTCATTGCGGTCTCTGCAACACAAAATATTAAAGGATACATAATCCTTGAACACACCTTAGTATACATTAAACAGTGAGTGGAAATGTTGCTCCACCACTTCGCTTCAGACGGATATTTCCTCAACAAATATTGCATTCATCGTTTTTCTCCAGTGCCAGCGTTTTTCTCCAGTTGACAGGTAATAATCAACAGAATACACTAAAAACACTCACCCATAAATTACGTTGTTTACTGTTTGGAAGTCTCAAATATGCACTCGAAATTAATATCAATAGCGATGTATCACACAAATAGCTCTCTTCCTTATTATTGTGTAACGTTAACTTTATTATACTAGTTTGTAGGTCTACTCCAAAATGGAGATCGTAATTTCTCCACCTCCACTCATTACAATCACACGCCCCAATGTTATATTGAACTAATATTATATTCCTCCACCCCACAAAAAAATCACGTTTAGAAGCCCTTTTTCTCTAATTCCACAACGTTGGATGAAATAACATTAGGAGAACGGATTAATAGCTGTTCATGGTTAACGTGTGTTGCTAACTTTATCCGGTATCCTAGCCTAATTGTATTTGTATTACTACAATGGACAAAGACCGATGTGATGTCTGTTCGTGATGCAGCAATTCTCCCATGGGAGACAATACAAGACAATTTATCCAGATACTACAAAGTAAAGTAACTAAGTACATTTACTTAAGTATACTTTTGAAGTACTTGTACTTTACTAGAGTATTTCCATTGTAGGCTATACTTTGTACTTCTACCCCACTACAGTTCAGAGGTAAATGGTGTACTTTTACTCCACTACATGTATTTAATACCTTTAGTTACTTCACAGATGTGGATGAATGATGTGAAATATAATCAAGTGTTAAATCAGACTTTAGTTCCACCTGGAGTAAATTCACAAGCTACCCTGCAGTATACAAAGTCATTCAAACTAGCTGCACCTTTACCAGCTTTGAGAACACTTTCATGATCAATCATTATAAAACATATCATATATATTATTCTGAAATGGACCAATCTGCACAATGACTACTTTTACTGTCGCTACTTTAACTATATTTTGATGAGAATACTTTTCTACTTTTACTTGAGGAACATTTTGAATGCAGGACTTTTACTGTAACAGAGTATTCCTACACTCTGGTACTTCTACTTTTACTCAAGTACAAGATCTGAGTACTTCTACTTTTACTCAAGTACAAGACCTGAGTACTTCTACTTTTACTCAAGTACAAGATCTGAGTACTTCTCCAGCTCTGCATATATAAATGTAGTTCCTCTATAAACACAGTTTCCTCTTAAATTAAATCCTAGTGACTAAATCTGCATGAATCCTCTGAATTTGGCGCCAGAGAATCACTTTAGAGATTGAAGCAGCTCTCTAATGACTGTCTTGTGATCGCTGTGTGTTTCAGATTAACATGGAGGACAAACCTGCTCCTTCTTCAAATATTAAACATGTCCCTTGTCCTCTTGTCTGTTTTATCCCCGAGATATTAAACGCGGTCCCATGCGTGCAGGGAAGAGGATGCGGAGGGTTTCCTACCTCTGAGAGTGAAGGTCATCCTGGCTGCAGGCTGTGAGGTCGCCTCGGTCAAAGTGTGAAGGCGGGAACATAATAAATAAAGTTTAAATAATAAGAGAAGCATTCTTCCTGTGAAGTGTGTGAGTCTCTGCTCGGGGACACACTGCTGCAGTGAGTGCAGAGAGGTAGTGCGTTTGTCTGCAGGATCATTGATAAGCTCCGCCCCCCAATAAGCATTAACCAATCACATGATTATCTTAAAAATGACATACTTTATTTATTCATTTTTTTAAAGGCAATGAATACTCAAATGGAAATCGCCAGCATTCTGAGAGGAAGGAGTACATTTACTCAAGTCCTGTACTTTTAAGTGCACTTTAGAGGTACTTTATATTGTGTCTAAATTACAACCAATAGTGTTTTATCGTCAGAGTTTATAGATTTGTATGTATATTTTATACTTTTTAATGCTGCTTTAATTATATTTTGAGATGTTTGAATTATTGTATTGTTAATTTCTACTAGTTTCTACTTATGTGCAATGCCTTGTTTTGTTTTGTTATTTATGTATAAGTTTCCCGAATTGGGATCAATAAAGTACTTCTTATCTTATCTAATCTTATTATTTACTCCACTACATTTATTTAATACCTTTTACTTTACAGATTGGTGTAGGCTACTTCTGCTTTTATTACAAGATCTGAGTACTTCTACCATCTCAGGATTTAACATTAATAAAAAGAAAAAACGTTTCTTTATTTCCTGAGTGCGGAGGGATATGAGGGATCTAGTCATGGGCGTCGCAGCCATTATATGAGGGTGGGACAAGTCCCCCCCACTTTTTCAAATGATTAGTTTAGACCCCCCCACTTTTACTATGCGGAAAGTCCGTGAATCGGTCTATCCACTCGCCGCACTTTGTAGAGCGCTGTGTCAGTGCTTCACTATCAAATTAAATCCATTCCACTTGCTTATTGAGAGAATGCCCAAATCAATGAAACTCCGTACCATGTTTTCACTGCTACTTTGTACCAAGGCAGATTCTCACATAGCGCGCGCATGTTCAAGGAGTGATGTCATAGTTGGACAGCTCAGATCTGTTGTATGAAGCGATGCCGGTAGCGGAGGTAAGGCACACATACCAAATGTTCAGGAAATGGTTAATACAGCGAAAATCAAAGCTGACGATCTCTTGGTTTGATATGTTTTCTCCCCCAGACAACATGGACATAAGAACATTTTTTTCAAAGAAGAGGAAAGTAAGTCATCAGCTGGTAGCAGTTAATCAGTTAACAGTGATGGCGGCGTCTCACTTCTGGAGAGGAGTTTCGTCTTTATGTCATGATAGAGAGATACAAATACTGAATAGTTTAGATGAGAAAAGGCATCGAAATGCCAGGTTACTAGTATTTATCAGTATTTATTATCACTTCACCACCTCTCTTGACATCTAGGCACTTGAGAGTGAGTCAGAGGCAGAATACAGGGACAGTGGAGAGAGGTCCATTGCTGAGGTGAGTGATGAAAGGGAAATGACAGTTGAGAGTAAATTGTGATGTGGACTCTCATCCCAGGATTTTAAGGAAATCAGTGGGGATATTGAACAGGAAACATTTCAGTCAAGGGGCATCATATGACCAATATAGACAGAAGAGCAACATTTATTTGAACATTTAAAGGAGAGGTGTCATGGCCATTTCCACTGATCATAATTCCATTGTTGAGGTATACTAAAATAGATTTATACTGTGCATTTTTCCAAACTCACATTGGTTTCTCATACAGCATCTCTGTAAACTACTTGTATTCACTGAATTTCACTATTTGCCTTTAACGGCTCGTTGTAGCTCCAAAAGCTCCAGCCCCCACCCTCCCTGTGAGCACAGTGTGCTCTGATTGGTCGGGACGTTGTGAATCGCGCTGAGCTCCGTGGAGGTGTTGCTTCCTTGTTTAGGATACATAGCGAAACACAGCCAAACTCATCCTGAGCACACACAAACTCACATCCGAAGTAAAAACAATAAGTGTGGCTTGATATTGAGTAAGAAAAAGGTTGATAGACGGTGTGAGAATGGGTCTGCAGAGAGAATGGGTCTGCAGAGAGAATGGGTCTGCAGAGAGAATTTTGCCGCGATCCCAACTGTCTGTTATCAGCCTGCAGCCAGGGAGGAGAAATCAGCTGAGCTGCCTGCTCCCTGCACACAGATGTGTGTGTGAGGAAGTCCGTGGATCGGTCAATTTGGACCAATCAGCGGGGGCTTAACGTAACGGCTCCGCGGACGTAACGTAACGGCTCTTCGGGATTGATCCATTTCGTTCCGGGTACCGCATGACATCAGGCGGTACCCGGAAGAATCAAATGGACAATGACGTATCTCCAACGAGGCGTTTTGGGGAGGTATTTTCTGTGTTAGAGTTTTACTCGCTACAGGGTGTACTTTGAGGGTTTTGACTCTGCACACCGTTTACATGCATAAAAACCTTCATAACACACAAGGGGACGGGTAATAACCGGAAAAGCATGACATGGGAGCTTTAAGTCAATGATACCATTCCTAGGTGAACTTAACATCCGTATGGAGTCAGATCAGTCTCAATATTAATAAATGCTCACAGAAGGATTCACAAATGTATTTTGCGATTTATATATAAATGACTCTCCACAACAATATCTCTCAATGCACTCACAAATATTTATTGTTGTATATAAATGTACAAAAAATGGGCATTTAAACTGCTTTTTATTAATTCAAAGACAGCTCTGAATTAATAATCAAATATGTTTCCTTCCTTTACTACTGGATGAAATTACAAAATGTACCCATCATTTTCCTCATGCTAGTATAGCCACATAAAAGTATCAAACCACCTGTTAAAATGCACCAGAATACAGGAAATCTATATTTTTCTTCGCCCCCACACCCCTGTTAAAAATGTCCCCCCCACATTCAGGATGCTTCCTACGCCCATGGATCTAGTTATCCCATATTTCATGTTATAAATAATGTAATTGTGCGACGAGAGAGTTGAAATAGGTTGCGTGGCAATGTGTGCAGGCTCATTTTGAATATTGCCTTGTATCCCTTCTTATCACGTCTCTCCCATGAGATAATAAAAGACGGATGGATAATAAAAACGATAAAAGGTTCAACACCGCTATAAAGTTAGTTTATGATGGATATACAACGACAGACATTCACTGCGCTTCTCTTTTAGTTAGGGACCGTCAACTAACCGACTGTTTGAGTGAGATGTAAAGACAATGTTAATTTAAATACCCTCCGTGCCAACTCGCTCATATTAGTTAAAAATGCACAACTCTTTTTAATTGGATTGAAATATATTTCTTTCAATTTTATATGGAAATCTTTTTGAATGAATAAGCATTTTATAATTAAGAAATCGTATTCTTATTTCAGTAGCTCCCTTTTGATGTGACCAAATTGTGGCAGATACTGAACAAGTTGGACACACCTCTCTTAATTGGAATTCATTCCTCAATGATTAGTTTCTAAACTCAAAACACACACTTTTCTATAGGAAAAGGGCGTTTCTTTTATAATTATTGTAAGTGATTATGAATATTGTAACAAACATTCAGGGGTTTTCTCATTGAAAAGTCTAATCTCTGTTTAAAAGCTTCCAAGTCATGTGACTGACTCCAAATCTATTGCAGATTTGTATTTTTAATAGCACACCTCTTTCTATTGGGTTTTAGGGCAGCTTCCAAATCAGTGTGACCTATTGCCTCTGCTCCTCTATAAGGTTTAATAATGTCTACAATTAAATTATCCTTGAAATAACATTCACCCTTAAAGGGACCTATCATGCTAAATGCACTTTTTGATGTCTTTTATACATCAATATGTGTGTCCCCGGTGCATCAGGGAACTCACGCAGCGTCAGAAAATAAAACCCTCTCTCTTTTCCTCCGTACCCAAATCTCTAAAAACGGGGGAACAACGGAGCTGATCCAGATTTGCGTCCGATATGACGTAATATCTGAAATGTGGACCCACGGCCCTATCAGAAACGTTGCTATCAGAAACAATGCCCGAATGTTTTGGACGTAATATGGTCGGTGTTTACATTAGCATCGCTAACACTCAGAGCTATCCTGTACTGGAGAGCATGTGTGTGAAGAAGCAGGAAATAAAAAGGAACTCACCTTGTGGTATAACCGGCAAGAGAGAAAGCCTTTGAGCTCCATACTGTTTCAGAGATAATCCTTGATAATCCATGATATGGCGTTTTGGTATTTTGAGGAAAACACTTCATAGACATGTTTTTTATATATTTGTATATATCTGAGACCGACAGTATGCTATTGCCTAAAAATTGCATGATAGGTGACCTTTAATTTAAAACCTAATATCAATCATCCTTTAATTCAAAGATTTCAGTCTTGCTCAATTTGTATTTCACAGCTTTGAAGTGTAACAGATACATTTAATTGTATTTATTTCTATGATTTTAAATAGTGAAATGTTCGATGTTCTGGTGACTAAAGCAAGCAAAAGCATTAACTTTATAATTATTGTTTACACCATCTTTGGTTATGTTATTGTAATAATCCTCACGAGGTAACGTCACCGAGATGTGTGCCGTTTTGCAAATTGCTTTTAGGACGGAATCAAGAAGTTGAGTTTAAATTAAGCAATATAATATAATATAATATACACAAAAAGTGCTAGTTTTCAGCTGCACACACACACTCAGGATTCAGATAAATAAATACATCTCAGCTCTAAGGCACATTTTCTACACATGTTTCTCCACAAAATAGTAATTGAAAGGCTAACTACCAACAGGCTAGATTTGGGCTTTTATCATTTGTACAATCAATACAGAAGATTGTTTGTTAGACATCAGTTTTCATAAACTACGTCTACTGCACTAAGGCACTAATTGTTAATGAAATTACATAAAACAAATGTTTTTAGGACTTAATTAAGGAATACAATGAAGAGTTTTCATATTAATGATCATTTGTACCTGAAGTAAATGGATTGCATTTTTTTTTTAATAACTTTTCTAGTCTTTGGCAACTACACTTCAGCATTCACACACACATTCATGCTGAGGCTAACCGCTCTACCACTCTACAACTCTGTAAGCGACATCAGTTCCTTAAATAAAAAGGAAACAGATGTGAAATGACACCACGCTT